TGTGGGTCAGGAATTTGGAAGTTGTAGCTGGATGATTCTGGTTCAGGAAATAAATGAAGCTGCAGTGAAAATGTTGGTTGGGCCTATGGTCATTGGAAGGCTAAGGCCAGAGGATCAGTCAAGATGTATTATTCTCATGGGGGGCTTGTTGGGAAAAAACTTGTATTGTTCTCCATAGGCTTCCTAAGTGTCCTCACTAGTGACCCAAGAGAGAATGAAAAAGCCAGACGCTGTAATATCTTTAAAAACTAACCTTAGACTTAAGAAATAATCACTTCACATTCAAGGTTCAACATATTGAATAACCAACTTTAAAGGATATTTATAGGAATCAAGGTTTCTCCATATGTGTAAAGACCAAATATATCTTGATGCAACAGCTATTGGCATATAAAAGGGGGGAAAACAGCTAATAATCATGTTTCTATAACTGTTACTTTATGGGAAACAATTGAGTTACTTAATTTTATTTATCAGTTAAAATGTTACCAAAGTGGAAAAAAAGAGAAATAATCACTTCTACTATATCTTTTTGATCTCACAGACCATCCCTAATACAAGGAGGAAGGGACCACACAAGGGCATAAATGCCAGGAGGTGTGAATTGTTGGTGGCTAGTTTGGAAGATTTCTACCCTAAAAGCTTTAAGCTGGAGAATAGGGGGTGTTTGGTCAATGATTAATAAAACTTGTACTTAATCTCCCAGTTGGTTATATATGTATGTATATATATGTATCTCTCTCTCTTTCTCTCTCCCCCATTCATCCATCATCTATCAATAAACTCTAGAGAATTAAAGGAAGAAAAGACTAGTGAATGGTAGAATTTGTGCTGAATTCCAAACAATAACAAATGCAGGATACAGAAACTGTCAGAGAACACTGCTTTGGAGACAGATAATCCTTATAATCTTTAAGTATGAGATTTCCATCCAATACTGCTCAAAGCTTTAACTTAACTCAAATATTTTAAAAACAAAAACAAAACAATAAAAACAACAAAAACACTTTATCCAAGGAAAAGCACGGCATGAAACAGAACTCCAAGGCACCTTGCTTGTGTCTACATCTTAACAACTCTACACTAACTGACCATGGTCTTATTTTTTAGCTTCTGCTCCAGTATTCAGCCCCACACTCAGGTCCCACTGGAAGTAGTGTTGTTCTCTACACACTCACCTTATTCTTCTAGTTGAGTTATTGCTTCCTTGTCCATGATTAGAATTCTCTTAATTCACCAACATCTACTGCAAATATCATTTATTTTACGCAAACCCCAAGGTGAAACGACCTCTTTTTTCTGGGCTAACATAATGTTCTCTGCTGTCTGTTAGTGACACTGATGATGACAATGATGAGGATAATAATAACATGGTGGTTACAAATAATTTAGTAGTTTTCATTTCCAGGCATTGTGCTAAGCACTCTATATGTTTCCTCTGACAATTGTATGAATTAGGTATCATAATTATCTTCATGTTTCAAGTAAATAAATTGAGATCCAGAAGTTTAAGTGATTTGTCTAAAACCACAGGCTAATCAACTATAGAATAAGGACACAAATTATTGAGTCAAAGCTTATACTTCCTTTTAAAATATTGAATGAGTAGTTTTACTTTTATAGATGGTATATAATGACAATGATATTTTTAGATAAGATTTACTTATAGGGAAATGTACAGATCTCAAGTGCACAATTCAATGATTTTTAAAAAAATTCAGGTTCTCACTCTGTCACCCAGTCTGGAGTTGCATGATCACGGCCACTGCAACCCTGACCTCCTGGGCTCAGGTGATCCTTCCACCTTAGCCTCCTGAATAGCTTGTGCCACTACTCCCACCTAATTTTTAAAAATTTTTCTAGAGACGAGGTCTCACTATGTTACTTAGACTGGTCTCATTGGGCTCAAGTAACTCTCTTACCTCTGCTTCCCAAAGTGCTGGGATTACAGGAGTGAGCCAGTGTACACAGCCTCAATTCAGTTAATTTTAATAAGAATGTAGCCATTACTCCAATCAAAATATCACCCTAGAAAGTTATTTTTACATCTCTTCTCACCCATCCCCTTCCCCTAAAACAGAGACAAGCATTGTGATGATTTCTGTCATCATAGACTAGTTTTATCTGTTTTTGAATTTACTATAAATTAACTCATATAGTAAGTATACTCTTGTGTCTGGTTATTTCACTCAAAATAATTAAAATAACTTTTTCTTGAGAGTCAGTCATGTTGTATGTAGCAGTAGCTTTTTTCTTTCTTATTGTAGAGCAGTATTCTATTGTATGAATAAATCACAATTTTTTTAATACTTTCTTTTTGATAGACATTTGAGTTGATTCCAGCTTTTGGTTCTTATGAATAAAGCTGCTATGGGTATTTTTGTACTAAGCTGTTTGCAGATATACACTTTCTTTTTCTCCCCTCCCCCCACTCCCCTCAAATATTTTATTTCTCTTGGGTAAATACCTAGATGTGGAATTGCTGGGTCAAATTATAGGGAAATATTTAGCTTTATAAGATTTTGGCAAAGAGCTTCCCAAAGAAGTTGCACCATTTTACATTCTACCAGGTGAGAAATTTTGTTGTTCCATATCCTTGCTAACACTTAGTGTCATCTTTTTTATTTTAACTATTTTTGTGGGTATGAAAAAGTACTGTGGCTAAAGCCTATACTCTTAATCACTGCTTGATGTTACCACGGTTCTTTTTCACTTTACACAGTCACTTGTACACAGTTACTTGTGAATATATCAGTCTTTCCTACTTAGATTGTATGCTTTCAGCTAAGATATTATCTTATCATTTTTATAGTCCTCCAAAGACCTAACATAGTGCCTGAATCAGAATAGGTGCTCAATAAATGCTCAATACATTTTGGCTTGAAGCACTTTCTCAGCATTTTTAAAACTCCCTTTCCAACTTTAGATTAGAGGCATAAAAAGAGTAATGAGAAGAAGAGTGAAAACCATTTATATGGCAGCGTGTCTGGTGATATATCTCAGGGTACACTGGCAAAATCTGGGGTCAGCTTAGATTAAAGAAGGTTAGAAAATAGGATTCTAGGTCTTAGATCTCTCATAATGCATCATAATATCTTGGGAGCTCTAAAAAAATGCAAATGTTTGGCCCCAACCCAGATATTTGGATTCAATTGGTCTGAAAGTGGGCACAGTCATTTATCTATTGTAGATGTTTCCTAGATGTTTCCATTGTGCAGCTAGGGTCACAGACCATTGCCACAGTAGAATGGAGTGAGGAAATGAGAGGTTAACATTGATAATGATCCCATTCATTTTCAAAAATAGATAATAACCTGACGATCACCCTACAGAAGAGAAACTATCATAGTTAACCATATACATGGATGGAACTACAAATGAATAATTGTCAACTATCCCCTTTGTCTCTTCCCAAGTAGACAGCACCTTTAATCACTAATAATATGTCATGCTAAATAATCAAAAGGGTATAGCACACTTGTGCTAATACCAAATACATTTTTTTGGTGGTCTCTCAATAAACTCATTTCTTGAAGCTCTAAAAGATGTCTACTCCAAACATTAAATCCCAGCACTGCCAAAACAATTTGAGCCTGTGTGTGACAATTAATGATAAATCAAGCAGAACCGGAGGAATTTAACTTGGCTTATGAAAGATTATAGCCAAGACTGTTTGATGCATAAACGAATAAATGAGGTCAACGTATTTTGAATTGACATTGCATTGAATATCATAGTTGAGCTGTAAGTGTGAGGGGCTCACAGTCTGATTCTTCCAGAGGGTCTGGTCCTGAATTTTACTCCTGAGTATTTGTCTTCACACAGATGCTGAAAGTGGTTCAGTAAGGCATAGCCAGACCTCACCCCACTCGATGAGAGCAGTAGATTTTTCATTTGAGCAACTCTATAAGTTAGACAAAGGGGTTCACTTTAGAACACTCCCATGTATTTTCTTTTCTCCTCCACTAGACAATGATTCTTTGGTTTGCGATTGCTGTGAGGTGGGCAGAACAGAACTGAAACAAATATTCCTCAGTTCTCCATCAGTTGTCTTCTCCTTACTTCAATCTTTGTTATGCCATCCTCCAAGGATGAAGGGGAAAGCCAAGGAAGAGGAGCATGGAAAAGTGAAGGGGAAGGGGAGACAGGAGAAAAAGGTAGTGAGAAGGAAGAAAGAGAAAACAAGCACACGCACACACAAACAGAAAGAAGGGAGATTTTCAATGACAACAATGGATTAGAATCAGAACCTTTGAACTAGGAGGATCTTTACACATATCTAGCTCAACACTCATTTTACAGATGAAGAAACTGAATGTAAGAAATAATTAAAGGATTTACAAATAGTGACACAACAAGTCAGGGGCAGAGCTGGACAAGAGAATGCAGAATGTCCACCACCACCTACCTCCTTCAGAGTGTTTCCTGATACTTTCCATGCTGCCTCATCAGGTCTCTAAAGAGAAATAGCCTACTGCCTCCTCCTCACCACCCAACCACACAACCCAGAGCCTGAAAGGACATTTCAGTGAAGTTGAATAGATGGTTTTGGTGGGTGAGTATCTGAGCATTCTGTGGGTGGGCATAGTGAAAGGAGCCATTATACTAAGGAACAAGCTCACTTTATACCTGCCTGTTGGACAAAACTTAAGTCTTCAAACTTTCCCAAGGCAGAGCTGTAGAAAGGGAAGAGTGATAACACTTCTGATAATTAAATGGCAGTTTTAAGAGATCAATCATGTCTTCAGAGACCTCACTGAAAGATCACTAACAGTGACATTAATGTGTTTGGGTTACACTTAACAATCTGGATGTTTAATGCCCTTCAACCATTTGTTGCAGGTCACCAGAGGTTAACAAGCCAGTAGTGAATATAAACATAATTGTGTTTCATTAGGCCAAGTTGCCAGTTCGAAGAACAAGAACACAGCTCCGACAATAATTGCTACTTTCTTCTAGGAGCAAGCCAGTACATGTTGAATAAATACATTGATACTCACTATTGTGTTTGAAGGTCCTTATGGTTGCACCTGAGAGTCGGGCCCCAAGTACAACAGATGTGTGGTTTAATTCATCACTTAAAATGAGGCATCCCTGCGTAGAAAACAAGCACACAAAACATAAGCCAAGACATAAAATAAAGAAAAGCAACTTGTGGGAACAGGAAGACACTTAAAAACCTGTAACACAGATTCCTGAAATGCTTTTTAATTTTGAAAGACTGAGAGTTTCATCTAGTGTCTATATGGATAAAATCCTGAATAGCAATTAGCTAATAGAGCTGGGAATTGTTCTAAAATATTACGTCTTTATTGAAACATTGGCATATAGTTTTCAACAGAGGCTTAACCAAGATCCAGGATAAGCATGAGGATTGATTCTCAACAGGAAAATTGATATATTTTTGGGTGGGTTATAGATATTCAGGGGATCTTTAATCCCATACCAGATTATTTGGGATGGCCTTGATTATTCCTATCAAAAGGCAGAGGTCTTTTGTGCAGGATAACTCAAGCTCTTGCTTTCTGATTCTCATTCTCCACTGTGCTAACATCCCATGTAGACAGAAGTATCACTCTTTATAGTTAAAACATTTGAATTTGAAAAAGCATGAATGACAATTCAGTCTGAGATAAATGGATAAAGTTATTCTAATCTACTGCTTAGAAATTACTGTTGAAACACTATTTTTCTTTTTTAGTTTTAAAATTTCTAAGTTGTAAAATGTAGAGAAAAATTATGGTGGAAACTTTGAGTTCTCTTTTATGTTTTGGTAATCCACACAAGATTTGTTCTAAGTTTTTAAGGCAAAAGTCAGCAAAACTTCTCCTATCTTTATATACATGTGTGTATATTTATAATTCTTCTGATGAAACATTTGAGGGTTATTTGTAAACCTCATTCCTCACCTCTACATTCTTTAGCATGTAAGAGGTCATTCTTCTACAAAATCACAGGACAATGATCAAATCCAAGAAGTTCAATATTTATAAAATACTATCATCTCATATACCATTCAAATTCAAATTTGCCTATCTGCCCCAGTAATGTCTTAATGTCTCTTATAGGTGTTATCTTTCCTTCTGTATTTTTCAAGGCAAAATCCAGTCTAAGATCGTACATTGCACATAGGAGTTATGAGTCAGATTTTTAAAAATATCAATATGATTATTGCACTTGCTTACTTACAATGAAACAACCAACTTCCTATTTTTCCTTTCAGGAACAATGTTAGACACGCTGGCATTATTTATGTTGTAAGGCTTTTTGCAGTTTGGCATCTGCCTTCATCTCTGATCTCTTCTTCAACCTCTATCCTATGTTTTAATTCCTCAAAACTTTAAACAAGCGATTTCCTCTTCCATGCCTTAAGGAAGGAACTTAAAATTCTGTTCTGTCAATAATTTTGCACAGACATTGCAGGCTTTCTCAAGAAGAGTTTGGAGCAACTCTTTTGTTCTTCCTCATGCAGGAGCATGGCTTTTGTGTGGCATTCATCCTATCTTATTTCATCCTATTTTATTTAGGGTATTGTTTACCTTATTAGAAAGTAAACTACATACATTTACAAGGTATAGGTCTTGTTCATCTTTACATGCTCTGTATCTTTCCTCATATCAGTACATAGTAGATTCCAATAAGTGGTTTACTGAATGAATAAATTAATGAATAACGGGAAAAATGTTTTGTTCAGATAAATGCTTAATAAATATTTCATACATTGGAAATGAAGACTTGGGAGCCTAAAACTTTGATTGGTTTTGTTAAATGGTCATCAAAAATGAGTTTTGGCCTTCATCTAAGGCTGTAATTGTGTAATTGGGAATATCATGATGAAAGATTTTTGGACCAAGCTGATACATTTATTCAAAATTCTGGATATCTAGTTTCTCAGAAGAAAAGAACTTCCTCAGTCATATTTCTCTCAAGGACTCATTAGAGTTATAATTCTTTGGAACAATACCATAGAAGACAAGTATATTAATAACTTCTCACCTTTCCAACGAGTGCAGGAATATTCATTGAGTTAGTTGCAAATCCCATCCCAAAGACCATAGCTGCTTCTACACCCAGGAACTTAGCCACAAGGTCTTCCAACTCCTTGTGCTTATCCAAGGTACCTGTGCATGACATTACATGAGACGTGAGTCTTCTCTTATCAGCAAGCTTAGGGGATTGGAAACTCAAATTTCGGGATATACGCATTCCCAAAAGACTGTACATAGCAGGAACATTTGTCATTGCCCCAATCTAGAAATAACTCAAATATTCATCTACTTTAGAATGGATAAATACATTGTGGGGTATTTATATAGTGGAATTCAATACTGCAATGACAGAGAACTCCTGCTCCACAGCAACATGGTTAACTCTCACAAATATGTTGTTGAGTGAGAGCAGTCAGACATTCAAAAGAGTGCAGGCTGTATACGTCTATTTAATAAAAAGTTTGCAAACAGAAAAAATGAGTCTATAGTGTTAGAATTCAGGACAGTGGTTACTTTTGTTGAGAGCATGAGGAGGGTTTTGACATTCTCTGCTGTGTTTCTGAATTTGAGTTCTGGTTTCTACAGGTATATTCATATGTGAAAATCCATTGGGCTATATAGTTATGACTGAGGTATTTTTCTATGTGTATTTTATAATGCAACAGAATTTATTAAGAAAATACCACAATTCTTCTCTTTTCGTACCCATTCTTCTCTTTTTCTACCCTATATCTTACAAGTACAATTAATTAAATTATAACCCCCCTGAGAGCTTCCCCACACCTAAATACAAACTGATCTCCTGACTCCCATAAATACCAATGAAACTAGTTATAATTTATTGAACTTTTGGAATGTACTAGATATTGTGCTAAGCCTACTCTTTAGGTCATCACAGTTAAACTTATGAGCCCAATAATGTGGGCATTATTGCTTTATAGATAAGAAAACTCATGCTTACGGAGGTCACAGAGAAAAAGCAACAGAGATAATCTAGGTTAACTCCAAAGTTCATGTTTTAATCTCTCTACAACCTTTTATATGTTTGCTCTCTGACCTCTTCTTAAACATGATCCCTTTATGCCTTGCTGACAGCAAATGTTGATGCTTCTCAAATTTTCTTTTTGCCATCACTCAGACTCCTAGATCTGCACAGCCCAATATTGTAGCCACTAGCTACGTGTGTTTAGGACAATCTAGGAAGTACATTTTTTATTTTTAAAAAATTAATTTAAATTTCATACTAAAGCACTGTAAAACATTTTTCACACAACACAAATGAATTATTTTGCGAGGATTATATTTCATATTATCCATCGAAAATTGAGTGTCTGCATTGAGATATTCTATAAGTGTAAAATATATACTATTTTTTGAAGGCTTAGTACAACAACAACAAATAAATGTAAGTAGCACATGAATACTTTTTATACTGATTACACATTTAAATGATAATCTGGATATACTGGGTTAAATAGAATGTATATTCAATTAATTTTACCTGATTTTCTTTTAACTTTTTAAATGTGGCTGTTAAAATTACGTATCCACACCTTGCATTATATTTTAATGGGGCACTCCTTTCTAGATGCTACATTTGCCAGAATACAGAATGTGTAAGTGGAAAGATGCTATGATGTGTATTCACAGAATGTAGGCGTCCTTGCTCAGACTTAAGTTAGAGAAGTGTTGTTACCATGTGTAGGGTCATTAAAAACATACTTCCTTCAACCTAAGGATGGACAAAGTTTACTACATAGGGTATAATACCAGAGTTTTATTTAAAGTAGTAAATTAGTTTCTTTTTCTGGGCTAAGATGGTAAGAGCTTAAATTTTAGAATGTATTAAAATGGTCGCCAGGCTTGGTGGTTCAGCCTGTAATCTCGCGCCTTGGTAGGCCAAGGTGAGTGAATTGCCTGAGCCCGCAGTTTCGAGACCCACCTGGGCAACTTGGCGAGACCTCATCTCTACAATAAACAAAAAAAATTAGCCGGATGTGGTAGCACGCGCCTGTAATTCCGGCTACTTGGAAGGCTGAGGTGGAAGGATTGCTGGAGCCCAGCAGGTTGAGGTTGCAGTGGCCAGGAGCAGTCACTGCACTCCAGTCTGGGTGACAGAGTAAGCCTCCAACTCAAAAATAAATAAATAAATAAATAAAAAATAAAATGGTCAGTTTAAAAATTTATTTTGCATTTAATGTTGAAGAGGACATTTGATCTTTGCCCTTCATGAGAGTTCACACTGTTCAGGTGACCTTTCTTCTTGAACCAAAATTTATTTATTCCCAGAGTTGTCAGAAGACATAGTAAAACAAGTATTCTAGCAAAGTCAATCTTACTCAAGATTTGGAGGAAATGTTAAAAGTTTAAATTGTAATTTCAAACTTTGCATTATCCAAGATCTATTATAAAGCAGGAAGAGAAAGGGGAATTTAAGAAGACCTGGGAATGTAATCATTTGCCAGATTTGCTTTTACTTATAACAGAGTGCTTCCCAAAAGCATTAGTCCCAAAAATAGGCTGTAAAAAGGCCACCAGCCTTGCTCACTGCAAGGTCCCTACCATTAGACCTGGCTTAAAGAGCGAGAGGAAGGAGGAAGGGCAGGTGTCCATTTGAGTTCTCCAGACACTTTTTTTCTGGATTTCCAGTGGGCAGGTGGTTAGTAAAGTGATTTTGACATAGATTCGTTTTGATGTCCAGATATCTCACAGTTGAGTTATGAGTAATTTTGCATCTAAGCGCTTGCCTTCATTTGTATAGAAAACTCTAATCTCCAAACCCCATAGTCATGGATTTCTCTGTTTAGTGTTCATAGTTCAGATCTTATAAACAAACTTGAAGAATTCCCAGGATGGCTGCACATTTTCCACTTCAGAAATCTATGCCTTTGAAAGTCAGAGTGGACTGGTCTGGGACAAAGTGGGGTTTTTTAAGGAATAGTGAAAACTAGAGTTCTTTTGTATTAACTGAGTGCTGTTTTCCTCATCTTGCTCTTCATATTCAAGAAAAAAAAAATGTAGAGAGAACTTGGGGAAACAAAGCAGTCACTAGGAGCTTGACTAACATGCTTTCTATAAGCATTCAGGTCATACTCTGAGTAAAAGTGTCCACTGGCAGTTGGTAGTCTGAGTATTCGGGTAGTTCTCGAAATCATATTCAACATTTTGTCTTTGGTATATAAATATTGGCATGTTTTAAATTCAAAGATAGTATAACTATAATACTAGCTGAAGGCACAAATGAATCCACAATGGTCTCTGTTTCTGTTTCTCTCTATGACACTTTAGTCTCTGAAGGTCAATAACAGCCACAAATTGGCTAGTGACAATGGATCTCCAAATTGCTATGTTATGCATATACTGAATCATATTTTTATCCTGATGGTTTATTTATCCAGTGGTTATCTAACAACTCAAAACCTACTTTATGAATAAAAGAATAAATATAAATGGGAAATATCCTCTTTCCAGTTAAGCAATATTTTCATGTGCCAAGCTCTGGGTTAGCTGCCATCAGTCAAATCAATAAAAATCAGATTCAGGATGAAGTATTAAGATTCTGCTTATGGACTATTTACTTCTGCTAGATTTTTATTGATACTGACAGGCTTGTACTTTTTAGTCAGAGATTGCTGCTGGCCTACATATTGACATTGATTAATAGTAAAGAGAGTTGGTGTTATTAACAAGCCTGTTTCACAACTACCAATTATTTTGTGTCCCATATGAAGATTATTTTCCAAACTGTGACTGTTGTCACTTTTGGCCCAGGATATCTTGTTAATAGAATGTTCCCTAGACCTGGACTAAGAGCAAGATGTCATTTATTGTGAGGACTGGCCTGCTGTTCCATCTGGTTGTTCCAGTTGTGTCATGGATATCCTTCACATCTGTGCCAATACTTGAACTGGCTCTTCCTGTACTCAACCTTCTGCCTGTAGGATTCAACCTTTGAATTCATCCATTAAAGCTTTTAGGGTACCTGGCTGTCCTTGTTCTACTTGTGCCCAGTCTGGTGGAGGTTATGGAGTGATAGTCCCTCTTGAGTGACTTTGTTCACCTGGACAACATTCAGAGAATGTCTGGAAAAAGTCAGATGTGGTGTCTGAAAGATCTAGTTCATTCTCTCACACTGAGCATTGGCTACTGCAGCTAGGTTAAGAGTCCCCATCCTGATGAAGTCTGGTAAAATAGCAGAAATTACTTTTACCTGCCCACTTGTCCAGACCTTCATTTTAAACAAACCACTCATCACCTCTTGGCAGGTTAAAGCTTTAGTAAATAATTAGAATTATATGCAAACAAAAGCCTTAAGTGAGGCACAGGCATATGATTGTGGTGGACCTTCATGTCAGATAATCCTGATGAGAGAAGAAATTTTAAGGAGACAAAATAACTTCTTCCTCACCTCATGTTCTCAGTCTTCTTTTTAAAAAAGGTTTTATTGTTTATTTATTTATTTTTATAAATAATGTGTAATGAGTGCCTACTAATGTACGATGGTTATTTAACTACGTGCCAACCTACACTATTCAAATATTTTAAGCCTTATCTCTGTGAAGTGCCATACAACTTCTTGAGATTGTTGCTGTTATCTGCATTCTACAGATAAGGACATAAAACTTGAAAATTTAGTTTATCCTCAAGACTACTTGGAATCTCCAAGATCACATAGTTAGTAAAGTCTAGAGCCAAAATTCAAACTCAGCATGCCTGACTTGAAAGATGAAATGCTTCACTATTCCATGGCTCTTTCCAAAGCAGGGGACTTTGGCAACTGCTAGCCCAGGAGGTGTCAAACAAATATAAAGATTTGCTGTTATGAACATCACAGGACAATTTATTGAGATATATTAACTTATGCATGTTTTCCTTAAATCGTCCTCTCTCACCTTCTATGTTAGTAGGTAGCCAGGCATGATTTAACTTTTTGCTTCTGGGGAGTTCATGATATAATCTAAAGTGGAAATGACTTCCTTCCTGTCTTTAGAAGAGTTTACACACGTTGAAGGGACTACATTAGATTTATTCAGAGAAGAGAAATCAGGATATCTGAAGCAGAGAGAGTGAGAAGGGTTTGATCAAAACTAGGATCAATAAACCTATGCATATCTCTTGACGATAGCTGCTTG